GCAGGAGGAGAGGGAGGAGAGGGAGGGAAGGGGAGGGAGGGCCATTGTCTCCTCCTCCTCTCGTGACGACACTCGTGCTCGCGTGACGTGACGGCCGAAAGGTCGCGGCGTGGCGCGGCGGGGCGCCCGCACGGAATTTTGGAAGGAGAAAAGTACGCGCCGAACGGCGGCGCGGGCGAACGAGCGCGCGCGCTCCGAACGGGCGCCGAGAGTGTGTTCGTGTCGAGGAGGCCGCGGGGGGTACGCTGCCCCCGGCGTGCTAGGACGAGGTTACTTTACAATAATTTCAAGCGTAAACCAATGGCTTTGGATTTTTCTAAGTTTTTTTTCCATTTTCTTGCAGATTTTCCAAAATTCATTTCCCCCTGATATGTTTTACGGATTTTTTGTTTGTTTTTCTTTTACGGTTAAACTAATTTTTCTGGATACTCCTGATTTTTTCAGATTTTTCAAATTGATTTTTCCATTTTTTTCTATTTTTTTTTTCGCCCGAAGTGCACCCCTCGTGTCAATAACATCGATGCGAATGGATCCGAAGGTATCGGAAGCTCGCCGATTAGCCCTGCTCAAGATCAAGAAGAATATGAGAGATATATCGTATCGAAATCGAAATGAGACAGCAGATAGCGAGATATCGCACGTGCGTGCACGTGATGATAAACAGCCAGATCAGATCAGAGTGGAAGGCAGCTCAGATTATGCGAGCAAATCGAACGACCAACGACCTGTAACAATCAAGTGGCGGGTAGAGATAGCAACAGGAGAGAGAGAGAGAGAGAGGGGGGGGGGGGACCAATAACTGATCGTCAAGAGGAGCCACGCAGCCTGGCCTGCCACAATCCACAATCACCGATAATCACAGTCGAGCACCAGACCACGAACACGGCCAGCAAACATGAGCTTGAGCAGAGGTGAATTGGAGCCCGTATATCACTGTGAAAAAAAAAAATATTCGTAGAGATTACGGGAAAATTGTCCATGATCAAAGTCGTAAAATTACAATTTAAAATTGTAAATTTACAAGCACTCCCTATCGACTTGGAATTGACCGACGAGCAAGAGAATGGGCTGTCGTAAATTTACGACATGTTTTGTAAATTAAAATTACAACAAATGTCATAAATTTACGAGAATATTTTTCACAGTGATTGAACCTAGAGGTTTGTTGGTTGAACGCGGTCCTATCACTCTCAGACCTGTACTGATTTATTTATTAGTAGCTTATAAAGGTTTTTATGCAGCAGGATTACTGACTAATTTGTTACTTATTCAGGATATCGTTGTAAGTAGCTCACTGATAAAAGATAAAATTGTCAGTAATTAAAAAAGAAATTATTTCGTATTACTGATGAAAGCAGTTGTCAGTCGCTTATAAAGGTTTTTGCGCAGCAGGAATAGACGTTTTATCCAAAGCGGTTATTCGTACAGTCGCCCAAATACCGCTATTTTTGTCCAGCGACAACCTCTTCACTGTGATCAAAATTCAAAATTCTGCCCACGGTGTTTGACGCGGAGTAGTCACAAAAATCAAACACCGTGGCCGGAATTTTGAATTTTGATCACAATTAAGAGTTTGTCGCTGGAAACTATTAGCGTGCGGCGTTGCCACATCGTTTGGATAAAAGGTCTATACTGACAAAAGGTGAAAAAAATCAGTAACAGGATGAGAGTGTAATTTTTAAAAACGAACGTTCTCAAAGCGAGGCTGTACACATAACTTTGTTTGTTTTGATTGACACTACGTGATCGTCTGCTACGTTTATTATTTTTCCTGTTCGCCTTCGCTCGCCTTTCGCCGTTCCGGGGGTTTTCGCCCCCCCCCCCCATCCTCTTTCTCGGAGTAAAAACACACGACGGGTGAAGTTCTCTTGATAACCCCGTCCTTTGTTAGCAACGAGAGGCATCGCCAGTAATAGTCAGTTCCGCGCCAGTTTCAATGCAAGATGCAGCAGCATACTACTGCGGTGGGTAAACACACAAGAGTGCATGAATTCCAACAGCGAGGGAAGCGTTTGTTCTACTGCATTTTAAACGTCTTTGCACGTATGCTACTTTAAATAACCTACGTCTTTTTTTCGGACATATTTGTGCGCAAAAATGCATGATTTCGTACAAATGAAAATGAACAAAAGTGTTTAAATCAGCGTAGAAATATGCGCAAAAAACATGGATTACCTAACCTCCTACAAATAAAAGATACAGAATCCAGTTAGTGTTTGCACTTGCAGTTGGCGGGCGTGCTGTTCGCGGCGGTGATCACCCTGCTGCAGCCCGCCGCTCTCCTGGCAGCCTGCTGCTGGCCAATTTACAGCACCCGCGGTCAGACCTTCTGCTCCGACGGCGCCCCCTCTGCAGATGGTAAACCCGAGGGGTACTTCGGGTAGTTCACTATTAATTCAAATTCAAACGTATACACATTTTTTTCAGTCCTTTTCGGTCGTTGATGTTATAAGTTTTTTGATTAATCTAATTTTTTAAATACGTTTTTCCTTGATTCTTCACTGATTTGCGAATTATTGAAGTTCTCTAAGTGTACTGTACCACCACCAGGTCTCATGAACCACTGCGGCGTTGGGCCGTGCAACATTTTCCACTGTAACTGCGACGACGGCTGCAGACCCTGGCATCCACCAGTCACCATAAAGGTTTGGCCACAACAGGATAAATAAAAATGTGCGCCCATGCGTCGCAGTGTCCACTGCATGTCCGCCCTCTCCGTTTGGTGTTTTGGGCGACAATACCCTGGCCTCAAGTGACGAAGAATGCGTTAACGTGTGCTAAAAGTTTGCGAGGTAGTTACACCGATTTGCTCTAGAGCTATTGTGTTAGTAGTACAGCTGAGTGTGAACCTGCCGGCGCCTACTCAGCATCGCCTTCCATTCATTGTGGGGACACGTTTAAGGGTTCGTCCAGACAGAAAGTCCGTTTTCTCAGATTTATTCGGCACGTTGCGGGATAGCTCGGCGCCTGCGAGACTCAGGGTAGGCCACCCCGCGGTACACGCACGCACTGCAGGCGTGAAGTTGCCTACCCGCCAGGCGCTACGAGAGCGAGCACAGCGGCTTAACATTATGGCATCGCAGACGCGTAACGGCGAACAACGGACGGACTTTCTGGATGATTCCTAAAATCGTGAGGTCCACCACCGCGAAACTGACAAACACAGGACATGCCGGACACAGCGATCAGGCTGACTTAATTTTATAGTTCGACCCAAACTAATGAAAAGAAAACTGTGCGGCCAGGACATTAAAGATGACTCCAAAATCTACAAATTCCACTGCAAAGGAGACATGATGAATCGATGGCACGATTACACTGTTGAGGAGCTAGCCAGCAACAAAGAGGCCTGTGGATGCTTCGGAGATGAGCGTGATTATCATTGGGAGACAATTCTGATATCTGAATTAGAGGTTCGTGTGAGCTCACTGTGATGTGTGAACAGGGTGGAATGGAAAAGTCTAACAGTGAATAATTGACTTGACATTGCAGCTAGTGGAACGGCCAGAAGCGGTAGTCAGCAACAAGCTCCACTGCCACCCGGGTCACGGCGCCTGCGTACTGGAGATCGAGCACATCAAGTCGTTCACGGTGACAACTGGCTTTGAGATGAGTACTAGCCTCGATTTCTCTAAAGTTGTACCGGCGTCGGTAACTCTGACGAAGAAAACGGACTGGGCCCGTACGACTGGCACCTCGCTCAAGTACCAGTGCCAGGCCCAGGAGGGGTATTCCACTTGGATCAGCATCAAGCCACAGTATTACAAGGTAACTTAACACAACCAATGTAGTCGGGAATCGAAATCGAAAATGCGTCAGTTGAGGTTAGTGCACACAGGGAATTATTGCACTTGAGACAGTAACGTTTGTTTCGATTCGCAGGCGAAAACTTTGCAACCCACCGGGTTGTATACCCGACGGAACGGCGAAACTGGCATCCCTGTGTGCGATGTAGCTGACGTCTACCTGCCGCGTATCAACAGTCACGGGTCCATCGCGGGGGACGTTCACTGCCACGCAGAGAAATTAAATTTATAAAATCCGAACGCTCATTTCTTTCCCAGTGCCAAGTCAACTCGATCGAGAATCAAATTGGTAAAGTGATTCCGAGGGGCATCGCTGTCTGCAGATACCTTTGTTTCGTTCCGATCGTCACTACTACCATCGCAATAATTAAAGACCAAGCATTGCGAGACCATCCAAACGCACAACTCTCTCAAGTGGAATCAGCAAATCGTCATCACCACAAAAATACAACGTGTGCCGGGCGGGCGCACACATGCGCCGCTAGTGCAGCTGATAAAACACAAATCATTCATTTACTTTCGTACGATATCGTATTTATAAAATAAAATAAAAACAAAGTGCCTGCAAAACACACATACAGCAACTGCGCATCCGACTCTGGCAGCTGTCAGAGAGAGAGAGAGAGAGGTTATGGACCCCAACCCCACCGCAGGTGCGCAGCTCCCCCGCGGCGTCCCCCCCGTACCTGACGTGCGGACGCGCGCCCGTGTGTCGTCATGCTGGTCGCCGTCGTCCTCCCCGCGGCGGGGGCCGTGGTCGCGGTCCTGGTGCCTGCCCGCTGCGGGCCGCGGACTGTCTGACGCGCGGGTCGCTACGGTGTGGGGTCCGCGTGGGCCGCCGCGCGCTGCCGCAGCTCGGCGCCGGCCTGCCAGTTCGAGCGCCGCGCCCGGACTGCCCCAACATCGAGACGCACGCCCGCAGCGCCCCGCCCCGCGCCCGGCGCCCCGGCCCCGCCGCCGAGCTGGGCCCGGCCAGGCGCCGCGACGCCACCCACCCCGCCGCCGAGCGTCGCCATGGCGACCGGAGGCTGAGGGGTTGCTGGAGCCGGAGGGGCCTTGCCCGCCGGTTGTTACCAAGCCGGTCGCGGAGACGCCGCCGAGGTGTTGTTGTTGGTCGCCGCGACCAGGACGCCCACCCTCCATGTAGTGTACACCGCGCACTCCACCACCACCCTCCTCTAATCCAGGCAGAGCGGCCCCAAACGGCGTCGGATCGTACAGAATCGGGCCGGCCGCGGTCTGTTTACTTACTCCTTAGCGCCGGGTGAGGTGGGGCGGGGCGGGGCGGGGTGAGGTGAGGCGTGGCGAGGTGGTGTCCGACACCCTGCAGCAGCAGCGGATCGCCGGCCGGCCCCCCCGCGGTTAACCATACACACACACATGCTGGTGTGGTGGGGGCGATTCAAGATGCACACACACTGTTGGCAGGAAAGACAGAGCTACTGTAATGCATTAGTGCCTGGTATAATAATGTCACATCACTTACATTGTCACTTACAGTCTCGAGGAGTCAATGTTGTTCAAGGGATGTGAGAAAAAGAGAAAATGAAGGATTTGATCGGAATCACCAAAGTGTTTTACTTTACGCTAAAAGTTACCTCAATTTAAAAAAAGGTTAAAGTAGTGACTTGTTGTTTCATAGAAGATGTCAAACACTGAAAGAGTAATATCATGCTGAAAACTTGAAAATTATTTCTCTATAGTGACATCGCAGTCCTCAACATCTTCCATATGCACTGCTACAGCAACGGAGACTGCAGGTAAAGACATTCAGAAAAGGTTAAATTATGGACTGGAAGACATATATATAGAATTCAGAGAAATCACTCATGTTGCCAGCTCACCTGCAGGCGGCACTTTGATAACAGAGTTTTTAATTCTGCCTATAAACACTTTAGTGGTAGGTGGAGTCTCATTGGAGTTGTCTGAGGCTTTACGCTTGTCTGAACTCACCCAAGTATCAAAGAAATAAAAAGATTAGAACCTATAGAGATATAAGTGCTCAAGCCATATAATCTAGAAGTGAGGCAGTTAAAAGTTTTACCTGCAGAAAAACTTGACTTTAGACTCGACTTCAACTGATGGTTGATGTTCTTGCAGTTTTGATAATGACTCACAACATCAATGATGGTTGGTGAGTTATTAGCCAAGAAAATAAACATCTAAAGATTTATACATAAAGAGCCAAGTTAATTTAAAATAAAAAGAAAATAGGAATGTGAGAATGGCTGTTCGAGAAAGCATAGTTGGATCTGCACAACCTTGATAATGAAAACAAAACAGCTCCATTCCAAACACCTACCGATTTGTGAGCTTTGAATAGCCCTGCTAACGACTCAAATTTGTTGTTCGAAGTAAGGTACTGATGAACCAAAGCAATCATGGTCCTATTAATGGCGGAGGAAATAGGTATTACATTTGCTGGGCCTGAGTCTGTTTTCAGAGGTACAGAGGGGTAATGAGCTGCAACGACATCTGCTCAAACCATAGAATGGATAAAATAGTTGAATCAATTGAAACCTTACCCTCATTGGAGTACCTCAATGCTCGATCTTTTGCAGTTTTGCAGTTGAGGTAGTGATCAACAACATCATGCAAGGTGGCTAAGTCTTTCGGACTGGTTTCCTGCAAGAAATATTTCCACACTAATAAATCCCCGTTAGTGAAGAGCATTTGACAGACACACAGATTGATAGCACTGCGGTTGATGAGCCACCACCGCTCGCACACAATTCTTACGTTTCCCAGTTCTATCACTTTTACCGCTGCTGCTTCCGAGGCCTCCTCACACTGTCGAAATGCACGCCGATAAACACCGAATTCCTCATCAAGAAAACGGTCCACAAGATCACGCGCAATACTTTCACTGTCATTATCCATGTTGGCCTCCACAGATATGTCTCCGACCATACACAAGAAGGTGTTCGTCGTTTGTGGCGACAGGCGACAACAAAAACAAACAACAACAGGCAGAAAGTGGCGAGCAGCGTGGATGAGTGTGGAGTGACCCGCCAGGAGCGCCACCGAACAGCTCCGTAATGATGAGAAACGTACGCGCGCACAAAGTATGGTGCGACTTTGACAAAACTGGCGAAACCAAACAAAGGCAAAATTCTTAAAATGACGGACACGTAAGATGCTCTCCCTGGTTCGTGCACGAAATCAACAACACAAAGCCCAAACCGATTTTGATCGACGGCTCTCCCAGCTGTCGCCCCATCTCCGCCGCCAGCTCAACGACAACGCGTTTCTCCTGCCGCCGCCGCTGCATCGAGGGAATTCCCCCACAATGATGCTCCCGACAGACACAAATGCAATGTTGGCAGTAGTGCTCAACCAGCCGTCATTACACTATTTTTTTTTAATTTTTTTTTGCCCTGTCTCCCAGCCCAGTCCCGGCACGGGAGGCGGCGCCTCCGAGTGCGAGAATCCAATAATCACACTCCTTTTTCAAGTGTGACGCACCCCGCCCCGCCCCGCTGAGCGCGTGTGTGGTGGTGTGGCGGGACCACATCAAGCACGCTTTTTTACCCGGCCGGCTAGGCCAGACCAGGCCAGACCGGAGAGAGAGAACCGGCTCGGTTTTGTCTTTCGTTAACGTTTTCAGCCGCCTATTTCAGGACCTGCTTCTCTACGCCTGCACCGCACCGCCTCGCCATGCACCGAGGGGCATCGGCTGCATGGCAGAGCGGGGTGGGGCGGGGCGGGGCGGGGCGGGGAGGTGCTGGCGGCGCCGGCTCTACACCCACGGCAACGCTCCGTCGGGCGCGCGGCGCGGGGAAGTCCACCGCTCGGGTGTAATAGTTCGCGGATGTACCACATGATGGGGATGAAATAGAAGGGTAGCGTTGCCGGATAAAGTAGGCGAATTTCCCACGTCTATTACACACACAGGTAGTTAGTGGGTTGCATTGCATGTAGAGACAGCCTCCTTGGCAACCCCTCGACACAGGTGTCTGAATGTGGCCTAGGGGACAGGCGTAGAAATGCAGCCCTCCAACGCACCGGTGTATAATCGTCGTGGGAATAATTTCTCCCTGCTTAATCTGCTATACACTGGGAAATAGAAACCTGAATTTCTGGCACCCGTTGAAGTGTCAGGAGGCTTAAATAACTGAGGAGCAAGAAGATTTTCGCAGTTCGTTATAAGGTGTTTCTTGTATTATTTTTGAGCAAACGAATGCATCATTTGAATTGACCCCATTTCCCCTCTCGCGTGGCGCTGCATAATGCAGTTGTGCCGCCGAGGCGCTGCTGAGGGCCGAACGCCTCGTCGCGTCGAAGCTTCCTTCCGCTCGAGGAGGCAATAAAGTCCTTCCCGGCCCAGTGTATGCTTTGTGCGT